TTCAATCCGGCTGACAAGGACCCACCCAGGGACACTGTTTCACTAGTGGGCGTGGGGTCCATCCGGCTTTTCGCTGGCGACACTCACCGTGAGTCTCTGCTGCTCCAGCTCGGTGGATTTCTCCAGCAGCTGCTGTTCCACCTCCCCGCACTTCTTCTTGTACTGGAGAACCTGCGGGAACGCCGCAGCTCAGAGCCCGCTGCCGGCCCGGCTCCGCGGACGCACGGCAGGACAAGGAAAACACAACCACAGAGCTGGCCGGCCCTGCCACACCCACAGTGCCCTGCAAGGCCCCTCACTCCCGAAATCCTAACCACCATCAGCCGACCCCCGTGGCAGGCCCCTTCCACCCCACCTAGGTCGCTAGTTTGGTAGGGCCACAGCGCCAAGTCCCTGCAAGCGGAGCGGGGGGGGGGGGGTGGCCAGACTGGTCTCCCTACCCCATAAGCTGAGAATCTTCAGCTATGTCCAGCAGGAACCTATCTCTGCCACAGCTAACCCCTTCCCCTTCCCTAATGCCCCACCACCCTCCATCCACTGGAGAGCCCTCGGCAACAGAGCAGCTCTTTGAGGAGAGACTAGTCCAGGACTCCAGGGAGGACTGACTCGCCTCGAGGCCGCTGCACTGAGCCCCCGGCCATTTTGGGGGCCAGGGGCACCTTTCCTTCCAACCCAGGCCCTGCCCGCTCTGCATGGATGTTACAGATCCCAGAGCACTTCGCCAGTTTTGCTCAGACGTCCTTAGCCAAAATATTCCATGCCGTGCCGGGTTGGCGGCCACTCCCCCGCCCCCCAGAGGTGGCTGCACATGGGTGTCGTATATACCCAGCGAAAGCCGCAGCCTCCAAACCCCAGCTGTGCAAATTCCAGAGTGTTCGAACACCGATGCTCAGAACGACCCCGCCCCGCTCAAAGCTAGTCCCTCGAGGGGTTTATTCACAGAGTCAGAAACCGCGTTTTAAACGGCCCTCAGAGTCTGACACCCAACAGTGCTTGTGGGGGAGGGAGCTGAGTGGGCAGACGAGCTTGGCGAATGCAGATGGGGCCTTCTCTGCACCGGCCTCAGGGTTCCTTGTCCTGGGTCAAGCAACCCCTTCC